TTGCTGATGTTTAGGAGGAGGTTATTCTCCTGGCACCAGGTTGAAAAAATGTCCGAAAAAATAATTCCTGCTGCTCATACAGAATTTGTGTCAGAATGATTAATAGTGCAATGTTCATTTCTGTTTGAAATGTTTTATCGAACTTTGTGTGACATCAGTCAAATGCCATGAAATTGGCTGTACATTTTCTGGCGAACAGGCAACAATGCACTGATACTTTGGCACCAAATGGACTTGTATTCTGATTTGTTCCACTATATTCCTCATTTTGCCTTGTGGTGAACAATTTGTAGCATATCAGCTCAGCTATTTTAATAAAATGAAAATTCATGACCGAAACTTGTTTAACAAGTAAGCTGAATTTACTGTGGCATCTTCTACTCCTCTGCGTGGCCTATAAACAAAGTGCACGGGAGTTAGCACTTGTGCAATTTTCATCAAACATTTCTATCACAACTAAGGTAAAAGCATTTGGAAACAATGACTTCATAACCTCACAAACTGTTCAAGAATTTCCATCACAGCTAGTGTAAAGGCAATCTATTTTTTCTCAGTACATGCTGTGCAAGTAAAGCGTTATTGATATATTATGAAAAAAGGACTCAGTTTTTGTGCACATGATTTGAATAAACAACAAGATGATAAATTTAGTTAGGAGCACCAGTTATTTCAGTGGACACCTAACTGCTGTTTTTAATTTTCAGTAAGTAGGCCAGTTTGAACCCATATTATCTGCAACCATATTGTTTACTCACTCCGTTTGCTGCCTTTGTTTGACTTTCTTTTTTGAGGTTTTTACAAAATGCAGGTCAGACATTATATCCTGTTTGAAAACAAGATTAATTTTCTGTATGCTAAAATTCACATATTTAGTCTTCCATTTTTTTTCTTGTTGAAGTGAATGTTATATTGTTAACAAAGATTTATGATGTCTCTGCAAAAACATCATAAAAGTGTGAGGGTAGTAAGCAAAGACAGATATCCACAGTGCCAAGTGGAGGTAATATGAAAGTGCTATAAGCATACTTTACTGAACCTCAACAAAGATTCTTAAATGAGATACTGTCTTTGATTGAAGATTGGGCAAAATAAACTTACGTGTTTGCTTTTTTTTTTTTTTAAATTACTGAATGATTCACAGGTCAGTGTTAAGTAGGTCAGGTACAAGTGTTGGAATAAA